CGCCGCCGCCCCCCGCGCAGCCCCTGCCCAGGTGAGCCATAAAACGGTGATCTGCACCCCGCTGTGCCGTACGGTCCGGGAACGGCCGACTCTTCCCCCTCCTTCCTCTCCGCCTCCTTCCTCTCCGCCTCCTTCCTCTCCGCCTCCTTCCTCTCCGCCTCCTTCCTCTCCGCCTCCTTTACCCTCCCCTCTCCGCTCTCTCGCTCACCTCCACTTACCAAGCCAAGACACACCCTCGTCAATTTTCGACAGAATAGTGGAGAGGTGTTTGTTTGAACTTTTAAAAGTTTATTTTATATGTTTTGTTTTGGAATGTTGGTATTGTTGTTCACAATTACAAATGTTTTTTAATGTGTTTTGTCTAATTGTTTGCTTAAACATTTCAGCTGTTACTCTACTACTATGCCTTGTGTGTTCCAGGACCAAGCACGTGAGCTTTGCCCGCTCGCACACCCTCACCTCCTTCGACGACGCGGTCGTGGGGCTGAACCGCGGCGTGTCGGCGCGCAGCCAGGAGCGCCTCATCGACGGCAAGAAGAGCGGCGAGCCGCTGGACGGCATCCTGCAGCAGCCGCCGACCCAGCTTCAGCAGCAACAGCTCCAACAGCAGCAGCTTCAGCAACAGCAGCTTCAGCAGCAGCTTCAGCACCAGCAGCAACTTCAGCAGCAGCAGATGCAGCTTCAGCACCAACAGCAACTGCAGCATCAGCAACAGCTACAGCAGCAGCAACAACAACTGCAGCAGCAACAGCAGCAGCAGCACGTCGTCGTGGTGGAGAAAGTGAAGCGAGCGCCCATGAAGACGCAGGCGACCCAGACTGAGGTGTGCCTCGGCCGCCGACCACTGCCTGCCAACTTCATGTCGCTCAGCCCCAAGACTGCCCTCCACACGCGGCTGCAAGGCGCCGCCCCGCGCCCGCTCACCAAGAGCTACTCGGAGGCGGGGGGCCACTTCTCGGACCTGGTGGACGGCCCCGGCCGGCTGGGCGCGCCCGCCCCGCCCTACCCCTTCCACCTGGACTCGTCCGAGCACGAGCCCCTGCAACGCACGCAGTCTGAGGAGCCGCCCCGGTCCCCGCGGCTTCTCTCTATGCAGGGGCAGCCGCTGGGGCAGGCGCTTGGGCACATCCCCCAAGGACGCGTTCCTCAGGAGCACGGGCCCCAGCCCCACGGTCCACAGCCCCATGGACCGCAGCCCCACGGACCGCAGCCCCACGGACCGCAGCCCCACGGTCCCCAACCTCATGGTCCCCAGCCCCACGGCC